GATTTCGGCTAATAAAGACAGGATGGCGAAATCTGTCGCTGATTCTCACTCAAGACGTAGACTTTATAATAGCAATAGAATTAATGAAATTAATTGTAATAGAAAAATTACATATATCTGTCAAAATTAAATAGCATTTTTTTTGATGAAGAGAAGTCTTACATATTGAAATAATATCACAAATAGTCAGTACATATATTGGTATCGTGCAAGGTAATGAACCCGGGACCATCGGCAGTATGGCGGTGTGCTAAATCGTTAGACCACAGAGGCTGTCGAGAAGAGATTACCGACCGTAAGCGGGAATGCTACACAAAACAACATCTGTGACTAGGCTAGCCAATAATGGTATTCGATTTTTCGGGATGTAATGGATAAAAAATCGGGACAGGGTTAAAATCTGTTTTTACAGAATCGTTTTTATTATTTTATTTACACTATGAAACTTGCATTCTCACTTCTATAATGTATTACATAGACAAAAAGACTGAAATTAGGACGTCCTGGTTGAATAGGAAAACATGGTAACACTAGCTGTAGCCATACAAAGTTTGGAGATCAAACAACCATTTTTGCAAGGCGATTAAAATTAATTACAAAACAAACATCCCCCGAGGGTAACCTGGTAGGGATCGTGTTGTAGCGGTATCGTTATACATGGATGTAGTACGATAAAATATTCCATAACTTGATATGCAAATAAACAACAAGTATCATGTACTTTAGGCTGGTGATATACAGTCGGTTAGGCCTCGTGTTGCCCGAATGCGATTAACATTGCGATAGACTTCGATTGGCTCATTCGATAAAATGAAATTTAAATTAAATTAAAAAAAAATATTTATGGAATGTGGTGATTATTACGTTGCCCGTGTCCAAAGTCAGCGGAACGTTAGTAACATTCAGGTAATCTGACGACTAATCAACTGTGTATTACCATCCTAATATTTAAGATCGGAGTCGGTCAATTTGATTATATGTATAATAATACATTATTATTATATATATACTAATAATGTCTCAGAAATATAATGCAATAATTGAGAATGTATAAAGCTCATCCATATAATTAACTGCCCTTATCAACTATCCAATAGAATCCAAAGTTGATTCCATCTCTCCAATCTAATTACGCGATCGAATATCAAGGCTTTTATAGAATACATCAAAGGTAGATACTTTCAATAAATCCGTAGTTATTTATTTGATATCTGTGTTAAGATACAGAGGAAATTTATCCTCGCTTCTGAAATACGAGTATTGACTACCCGACAAAGTTTAAATTGATAGCATTTTATCAACCGGCTCTAGAAGGTGGCTCTTACAAATCGAGTACATTGTTTGTCCTTTTACGATACCCAGTTGAAGATACTTAATTTTATGAGTTTGAATTTGGAAATTATATGAAAACGTACAATATCATACTTTATGCTTATACTAATAAGAAATAAAATTAATCAAAGAGACGGCAGTAGATTTATGTGCTGCCTCGTTGGATTTATTCACGGCGAAATGTGGGTATGTTTTATGGATGATAATGGTGCTCCCGTCTGCACTAACTGACAGGGCACCAGTGGAAGATCATAACATGAGCATGAGGCCTGGTCAGTTAGCCCGTCGCGGTAAATTTACCATGATGGTTTCTAGGGGAACCACGTGGAGGTCAACCTGACATCAACCTGAATACATTACTAATAATGGAGTTATTAGTCCACATTACTAACACTACCCTTCGCCCCAATTTGGGTATGTCAAGTTATATACTATGGTCACTACAATCTTGATGCCTTTGGATCTCTCCTCTTTTATGAAATTACAGCCATAAGGACAATAAATTAAAAAAAAATATCACATCCAATATATTACTTTTTTAATTTAATATTTAAAATGCAAATACTTTGAAAGTAAAATTGTCTCACGCTTTATTATTGCATTGCAAACAGTTTTTAAATTAAAAATAAAATGACTGTTTATTTTTGTATTCCTGTATCTAATTTTCCTTCCACGTATCTGCTCTATTTAACGGTCTCTTAGGTCTTATGTAATTATTTTCTCGTTCAATTTCAAAGAACAACCTCGCGCTCGCCAGAAGTCTTGGGAGTCGTTATAAAATTTCCCAACATTTCCCAGAGTGCTTCCAAGTTTAAAAAAGCTATAATTCGTACATTTTATCCGACGGAGATGATATTAAACTAATTATATTTCTAGCTTTAGTATTTCTGTTTCTAGGGTACGCTGTTTCTATTATTAAGTAACATTGCAATCTCTCTTGATTGCGTGTAAAATAAATTTAAATTTAGAATATAATAACTACAAAGATTCTGTTTCTATATATAAAGAGATAGTGGAATGAATATGCAAATTTTAAAATTAGAATTTCTGTTTCTACTATGAAATACTATGAAGTTAGAATATATTGTGCAATACATTCTCAGTTTATATGGGATACTGTATTTGTGTAATTAAGAAATATGAATAGTGCTACGTACATTCAGGAATTAACTTATCAAGTAATGGGTAATTGTTGTCCGGAAACTGTTATTAGGGTCTCTCATGCAAGAGGCTGATTTATGAGCGAATTGTTTATTGTTATCTGACTTTAGTCCAGCATCGTTTATAGAATACGAACCATTTATGCTGGAACAAACAATTTCGAATATTCACTCTTTATAATTTCATTGCTACATTTGTTAAGCAGATTTTGTTGAGAATAGACAATTTTATATAAGAAAATTAGCATGTATTATATAGCAAAAGTTTACAGTTGGAGCGATATATAGTATCTACATATATACCTTCACGACTGATGAATAAACATTTAAGAATCACAAAAGGGGTAGTCAGAGCTATTCTCTACTGTTGACTAGATGGCACTGTGGTCCAGGGTTATTTATTACTTATTTATTTATTAAAATTTAAATGCATAATTATATAAATAAAGATGCGGATGGCGGACTTAACACCTTGAACCATTTTCTCCCAGTCAACCATAAGCCAAACAGAAATTCATATGGGCCGTGGATGTTCAAAAAATGTAAAAAAATGAAGATAACTTTAATGTGTTTAAATATTATTTATATTTACACGCGAGCTTTATTATACAAATATAATACAAAATATCAATAAATAATGACTCATATATTAAATAAATATATATATAACTACATATAAAATGATAAATTTATACAAAATAACAGTGAAAGTCGGGTGCATAGAGGAGGTGGTGTAGAGGAATGATACTACAGGAATAACAGGAATTACACTAGTTCACACACTTACAAGATCCGGTTGAAACATAAATAATGTACATATATTAAACAAGAATTTAAAAATCTACGATATAACTTCTCAGATAGAGACATATTTGCCTCGAGAAATATCTTCGGAAATATGTCACGAAGCGAGCGTTCATATATTTTAAAACATTTCATTTTGAAACGCGTCAAGTTTACCTCACAAATATTACTCAGCGTCGACGTAATAGAAATGGAGGGTAGATAAATTGTAGCAGCTTCCACCGTAATGCCGAGATGAATGCGCCAATTTTGAATTCTGTTAAATTGAATTTACAAGTAGCGATTGCTAGTATGGATTAAAACTATAAATTTGAACTAAAACTTTGTACAAACAGAAGCTTTGGCTAATGAGAAATGGCGTCTTGCATCCGCCATATTGGAATAAGGTGATATTCTGCAAATGTTATAAATAGAGATTTTGTTATATTATTTTTTATATATAATATCAATATATATGTACACAGTATATGTTATAACTGTTGTAACTTATAATGTTGTTATGTTATAACTTATATATTCAAATACTAAACTTGTATTTGAATTTATAGTTCTTTTATTTTACATTCTTCGTTTCATATATCTTTCTGTTGTCAATAGTCTGTCTGAATATCTAGTCTTTTTCGATTTACCTATGCACAAATAAAATGAAACTACAACAGTATATACTCTGTGAAATTATTGTAAGACAGAGGAATGTATGAATTCTGTCTGTAATGGTAAAAATAAAAAAAATACTTAAGAAATATTTTTTCACCTTTAGTTATAATCAACGTTATTAGCGAATCACATGTACTGTGTTTTTTAATAAAAAAATTGAAATGACTAACTAGTTTTGTGTCACGTAATTTTATTACTATTATTATAAAAATTATCTGTATATGAATGCTGTTCATGTTTAATTAAATATGAACAGCATTCGTAAATGTATAAAATATAAAAGTAGTTTATCCTAAAGATTGACTGGTAGGAAATGGATTTGATCATTAAATTTACCTTATGAAGTTTACCTTAGAAAATATTTCGTATTTCAACTCTCAACTTATAAAAATTTGCCGCGGATGTGGCGGATGTGGCCCGAGATACACTCTTTCGTGTAGCACTACACGTGCTATACGAAAATATGTTAAGCACAGTACTATAGACGGTGCATTTCCGAAGCATGGATCCATACCGCATAGAATGTTATAGTTTAAGTGGTGTCATTAAAAGTTTACCGTTGGAGCTCTTTTATATGGACAATAAAGTCGATTTAAAAAAATCTATATATAAAAATAAGTAAATCACGGGATCTTGCCACGTTTTATTTATTACTAGCTACTCGCCCCGGCTTCGTCCGGGTGTACATGTATTATACATATAAGCCTTCCTTTTGAATCATTCTATCTATTAAGAAACCGCTTCAAAATAGTTTTAAAGATTTAAGAGTACATAAGGACGGACAGACTGAGACTTTGTTTTATTAGCATAAAACAAAGTCAGCGACAGCGACTTTGTTTTATGCTAATCCGTCATAATAAGTGTTTATTATGGAAACTCAATAATCATTACATAGCTGCAATGATTATTGAGTTTCCAAACTAAACACGGGTTTATGTATTTATTATTATTGTGTTCCCAATATTTCGGCAGTGATACAACCGCAATGATTACGAGACTGCGTCAAATTTAAAACAGTATATAATATTATTTTCTGTTTTGTTTCAGATACAATGTAAAACTGACAACCCTAGCGTTACCTTCAGTGATATTCGAACCGAAGTTCAGGGGATCGGTCAGGAACCTGGTGTATTCTGACGGACCTGGACATCCACCCAGGAGACAGGAGTTACGGCATTCCAGGGATTTAAAGGTAAGTCGGTGACATAATTTTGAGTCTAGAACATTGTATGGAATATAGGTTTATTTTATAACATAAGTATTCAAAAATTTTGTTTTAATTTAAATGGGTACGGATAATACGGGATAAAGAACTAGTATATATACTACCCTTTAACCTAAATATTATATAATCTAAGAGTGAAAAAACACTACATTAGTCACTTGATCCAATTTTATCGCTAGAGAATTTTGTTAGAAACGAGGCAAGATCGAAGTGCTTTACCTGAAAAAATTTATAAAGAATATTCGTGCAAGTAATTTCCTATTTTCCCAATAATTTCTTTGTAAATAAGACGGCAAAGGATTAAACTCCTTTGAATACAAATATAATTTTGAATTTCCGACATATTTCGTTATATTTCATAAACATCTCTACTTATCCCGTCGTTGTCACGTCCCATGGTTAAATAGGAATGAAAGTCTACCTTCACATGTTTATAATAAGGTAGATTTTTGGTTACGTCCTCGCGGATAACTATACGGCAAATCCAGTTGAGAAATTCCATTCAAAGCGACTCTATTCGTATGGGTTAAGTTATGAGCGATAAATTAGTTAACGAAATTAATTAAGTAATAAAGACGTCTGGTTTCACGATACAAGGAGTTTCTGGTAAATTATGGCAAAAATAATATTATCCCCACTAGATTTATGATCAGATATTGTTATAATAATAATAAGTCAAAGACAATTCACATAGCGCCATCTAGTCTCAACCTAAGCGGAGCTTGTATTATGGGGTCAACTGATATTAGTACCTAGATTACCTATGTACCTAGATTTAATATATTTTTAGACATAAATTGTGACACCCGCGATAAAACACATGCGTTGCCTTTCCGTAGAACCTTACCTGATCCTGTAATTCTGCCGTATCTATTGTTTCAACCAAGACACAGCTTAAAAAGCAAGCACCTTTATAATATTAGCACAGATAACATAATATTATATTAGTATGGATTATGTTTATTGTCACATTTCAGTACGCTAATAGCATTTTGTGCTCAAATTCTGAGTGCGATGAAAGTCACTTATTACTTAGTCTCATCGTCAAGTATTATATCGCCGTCGCTTATAACTTAGGCCACTGGTTAGAACGATATCGCGGTTCGGACTGAGGCATAATTTAAACAAGATGTTTTCGTAGGTTACCGACGAAAGTGTATCGCTTTATTTTGTTTAGAAGGGGATACCTCGGTTCACAGGTAATTGAACTTTGAATAAATAAGAATAGTATTCATTTTCCTTTAACATTGTCTTATTTTTTATTTTAACTGTCTTTATACGACAGCAAAGTAGGAACAAATACAATGCTCATAGGTACTAGGGACTTAATTTAAACTGTTTTGCGATTATGTATGGTTCATTTAATAGTACTATTGTAACTCTTTTAAGATATTTTAACCTATCGATTTCAATCAGTTACAATCACAATATAATAAAGGAGGACAATATAAACAATTATTACTAGAAAATCTAATTTCTTTTGAATGTTGTATACAGGGTAGTGATCGTGCCCACATCATTGGATGAAAAACTTTACTTGTCAGTTATTGACTACCGAGAGTAAAAAAAATATTAAAGTAATATTAGTACTTTATGGCAAGTACTTTTTCAGGCTATTAAAAATAGACCTGAAAAATTCGGGTCAAAAATTAAATTGGAAATTTTGTTCAAAAAACAAATTCCTCGAGCTTGATGTGCCATCAGCACTCGCCCCTTATCGTTCGGTGAAGCTGTAAAGGCCAGCTGCGGCAAACAGCATTAGAATATTTTGAAAAAAGGCTCAGTTGTTATTTTCTTGGACTATTCTAATGCTGTTGGCTGCAGCTAGCCTTTACCGCTTAACCAGACGATAGGGGGCCAGTGCAGATGAAATTCCAAACACGTGGAAGGACTTATGGAACGGTTGAAGTCCAACTCCTGACGGATACGACTTTAGTCTGAGGACACCGCTATGGGTTGTCGTAATTTCGATATCCGTTTGAATTAGACGATAGATCAATCGGAGGGAAAAGTCACAGTGTATAGTTAGTGAGTCTATAAATAACAATAGTTAACTTGGTACCTCGTTACACGCTATAAACAGTAGGACGTCAGCATGAAGATAATTACTGTTGCCAAACACGAAACCTTACGTACCGAGCATTACAGTATACGCTGCCTAACACTTCTATTTTAAACGTGTTAAAATTGATTATTTATAACCTGTTTGTGTAAAGCTTAATAATTAATGGAATATTGATCCAAATGTATACGTAGGCTTTATATGAGCGCGTTGCGTTTGTAAATTCATACAAATATATTTTTGGAATATTATAAAGTCTGTTTGCTACTGTAGCCAGCTCCTTGATAGGTTTTTATACTATTTTTAAATTTTATAATAATATTCTTTGACATATTCTTTATTGTTCACTTTCTATTATATATCGCTGTCATACTAGTCGCATTTTATTTAATCTCCGTATTTTCCTCATTAAAACCTTCAGCACCTCTCACTCATCAGACACATTTGATACCTCCGCTTCAGCTACCTCTTCATGGCTAAACGGCTGAATGATCTTGATGAAGTTTAACACGAAGATTGAATCACGAGAATTAATATAGGCTGTGTTTGAAAAAAACTGATGAAGTGGTAGGTCAGTGTATCTATAATATATAATATTTTTATGACAGCTTCGATAGTCGCGGGTTCAATGATAGGGTCATAAATCCACAGTACTAACAATTCCCTTTCCCCCCAAATACTATATTTTTTATAGATGATAATAGAATGGTGCACCCGCCTGCGCTAACGGTTTACGCTGCTACACTGGTGGGGCACCGGGGGTTGATAAAATGAGCAAGAAGTGAGGCCAGTTAGCCCATGGCCAATGGCCTGACTTCATGCTGACTTTATTTTCCCTCTGGGAAACTCTGTGGGTATAATTTACCACGCGGAGAACTGAACTGAACTGAACCGCGCGGAGAGGTAAATCTGACATGGTACATTTCTAGCATTAGAGTTAATAGTTTACATTACTAATAATCCCCTGGGGGGACCCAATAACTATAATTGTAACCGCCTACAATTAACTCTAGTGATTCAGCAGTGAAAACGTAGAAACGTCTAGTGACATAAACCTTGCAAGCTCTGAGGTCAAGTTTATTTAAAAATGGGGATATTTCGGGAGCCCGACCTCGGTAAAGGTCTGTCTGTGTAAAATTAGGTCTGCATTTTGTCGATGTTAGATAATTATAGACATTTTACATTCAGTTTCGAATAGGTCGAATGTTCGAGATTAGTCAAAATTATTTTACAGGGCGTATTGTATATTAATAATCCAGGTTTCCTGTAAGAGATTGTTTTAGCGATAAGGCCGCCTTTTGTTAGTATATTTATAGCAATTTATTTTTTTGTAAATATTTTTTCTTTTTATACTATAATGGAAGATGATGATGATGGAAGATCGCGGAAAGTGGCAAGAGCTCCACCGACAAGAGCGTAGCTCTTAAATTATGAATGAATGAATACTATAAAGAGTTTTTTTTTATACCATGTAGGTGGCAAACATGCTTACGGCCCATCTGATGGTAAATAGTTATCGTAGCCTATGTTATTAGTATTTTAATATACAGTATTGTATAATCATAATTTTATAACTACTGGGTTAGTTTCAAAAGGTATCACTAATGATGTTGACTTCGTACAAAGTGATCTGAGCGGGTACCTATTTTAGCCGCTAATTAGATAGCTTCGTATGTGTTTAAAAAAAAAAACTCTGGACAATTAACACAGCGCCATCTAGTCCCACGATAAGCACAGCTTGTGTTATAGATACTGGACAACTGATATAAATACATAGATTTTTTTATAAATACATACATAACATACATAGAAAACACCCAGGCCGATATAAACACTACACAACTTATGAATACAAATGTTTCCACCGTGCGAGGAATCGAACCTGCGACCATCCGAAGTAACGCGGTGAAAATGAAAATACTGTAAACCTTTGAAATGCAGTGAAATTATTGGAAGCGTGACATAGAGATGACCATGAATATGCTGTCCTTCCGAATGGCAACACAAGGCTACTACGAGCGTCACATGAAAACGTGATATTCGTAGTACTGTTCATATCTATACATATAAATAAAACTGGAGTGTCTGTTTGTAATATTGACATAACCGTTTTTACTACATGCATATGAATATAATTACGGTACATATACCAAAATAACATTTTTTACAATTTTTGTCTGTCTGTCTGTTTGTTCCGGCTAATCTTTGAAATGCCTGGATTGGATTTTGACGGGACTTTTATTGACAGGTAGCTGATGTAATAAGAAGTAACTAACAGGTTACATTTATTTTAGAAAAATAAAGTTAAAATCCACGCGGACGAAGTCGCGGGTATAGCTAGTAATATACATACTAGTTTGAATGCTGATTAAGTTTCACAAAGAATGAATTCGGAAAAAATATTATTATTTTTTAAAATTCAAGACTGCATGGTTTTTGATACTTTAGTATAAAAAGATATAAGATACAAATATTTTTAGACTTCCTATTTGTTTCTTGATGAAAGTGTTTTAGTTTAATGAATTTCTGTCTAGCTTTAAGCTTAGTATACACTGTTTACAACTAATTCGCATTAACTACTGAATAATCGTTGTTACGGAAGGACTGTATTAAGGCTGGTTTAAAATGAGACACGTTCCTAGGTGAGGTAAAATAAGTGTAATCAGCTCGCTAGCAAAAATATAAAGACAAAGAATATAGCATAAGAAAACAAACGGTATATAAAAACAGAACGTCAAAATATAAAATTCAAATATATATAAAACATAAAAACTATCAAAAAGGTTGCCATCGGCAACAATCGTATTGTTAATATATATTTATTTATTTACTAGCTCCGCAAATATTGATTTTGCCATGTAAATTAAAATCGCTATTAAAAAACAGGGGTTAATGGTAGAAAGCT